TAGGTGGTGCTCTCCCCTCCCCTGGGGGTCTTCAAGAGGAGGTTAGATAAGCATCTAGCTGGGGTCATCTAGACCCAGCAGTCTTTCCTGCCTTTGCAGGGGGTCGGACTCGATGATCTACTGAGGTCCCTTCCGACCCTAACATCTATGAATCTATGAAAGTCAGAGAAGTAGCAAAAGAATAACCCTGAGCAGACAGAAATGGCGTGGTAGTCCCTTGATATGTGACTTGAGTACATTAAACTTAGTTCCTAGCTAAGTTCCTGGTAAGTTACTCACTTCCTCATCCAGAGAATGAGAGAGAGCTGCGGAGGTCCATGTTTCTGTGTGTGTGTTTTAAAATGTCCACCCATCTTCTTCCTGCAGGGACCCTCTTAAATAGCCCTCCTGACCTCACCACCTGGACCCAGTCAGGGACAGGTGTCATTTGCTGCTGGCCAATCAATTTGAAAAACAACACAGTTACCTAATGGAGTGACGTGGGCTTAAGGCCTGGCCCCCATGTTGTGAGGTCACAGCTCCAAACAATAGAGAGGTTACATCCACACCCTCTTACCTGAGGCCAGTCACATAGGCAGTGGCAGCGAGTTGGCTGCCTAGCAACCGGATTGATAGACACACGAGAGAGAGGAGGGGACAGATAACCCAAAAGGGGAGGATGCTGGGAGGGAGTTCTTTCACAATCACATTGGAGAGAGTCCAGTGGAGGGCAGTGAAAATGGCTGGGGACATGACTGGTGAGGAGAGGAGGAGGGAACTGGGCTGACTGAGTCTGCAGAAGAGAAGACGGAGGGGGGTTGAATAGCAGCCTTCACCTCCCTGCAGGGGGGTTGCAAAGAGGATGGAGCTGGGCTGTTCTCAGTGGGGGCAGGTGACAGAAGGAGCAATGGGCTCAAGCTGCAGCAAGGGAAGTTGAGGTTGGAGATGAGGAAATACTTTCTCACGAGGAGGGTGGTGAAGCACTGGAACAAGCTCCCCAGAGAGGTGGTGCAGTCTCTATCGCTGGAGGTTTTTATGACCTGGCTTATCAAGCCCTGACTGGGATGATGTAATTGGGGCTGGTTCTGCTCTGAGCAGGGGGTTGGACTAGCTGTGACCTCCTCAGCTCCCTTCCAGCCCTCGTAGCCTGCGATTGCATGACCCCACTGTCACTTGTGCGAGGCCAGGGGGTGGGTCTTTTTCTCAGGCCTTTCCCAGTTCATTTTGCACAGTGAGCAAAGCAGCAGGGTGGGAGCAACAGAAGGGAGGAGGACATCACACACTTCCCCCCACCCTGACCGGGGAAAAGAACGCAGGTCAGTGAGAGCAGTGCAAGGTGGTAAATGCCCTCCACTGTGTGCATGGCTTCAATGGTCACCTGCATTACCTGTGGGCGTCTTAAAGTGGCTTTGACGGTACCAGATCCATGTGAGTCAGTGGTTCAGACTGCACTGAGTAAGAGCCCAGAGTCACCTATGTATTGCATGCGAAGCCACCGCTTACCTGTGTGTCCTGCCATGATGCCAAACACCATCTGGGCCAGGATGAGCTCCTCGTCATCTTTCCTCTCTGCTCACCCCTTTCTCTGCCATTGCCAAGACCGCCATTCCCCTTGTTGCTAACATCTGCAGCCTTGGGGATATCCTGATCCCATCCTCTCCTTTCTCCCACAGCTCCCAGTCTTGGACACAACCGCATACCTAGGGCAGGCTGACCAGGGCAGCAGCCCAGGTTCTGATTCGGG